CGCAACAACCGAACCACCCAACCACCCACCCAACCACCTAACCAACCAACCAACCAACCCATCAAACCACCAAACCGCCCACCTAACCACCCAACTAACCAAGCAACCAGCCACACAACCACCCATCCATCCGCTCAACCACCCAACCAACCACCTAACCCAACCGCCCAACCACCCAACCACCCAACTAACCAACCAACGTACTACTGTTCGTAATTATGAATATATATTTTTTACAGCCGAGAGACTGGACTCATTGTGTCCGTCGCTTATCGTACGCATTGTGTTGTCGTCATCTTTCGCAGTGTCGTCGGCTAGCAATTCAGACTGTTCGTAATTGCCAGGTTCGCTTATTCAACCTTGCGACACAACATGGGCGACGTTGTTGTTGTTGTGAAAGAGGTTGTGGATGGAAAAGAAATCGTCGTGAGGGAGACAGTGTGTGAGCGCGATACTGAAAACGAAAGAGACTTTGAACACTGGGAAGGGGTTGTCGCCACGAAAACACGTGTGTACTACTCGTTCATCAATGACACCCTCGCTTTGAGGGTCGTGGCAGGGTTGGGGTACGACGACCATGATCGCCTTGATGAGGTTGTAATGCACGCAAAAAAGCTTTCGGATGTCGTTCCTTACGCCTGTGAACCCCCCGACTTCGATATGATTGGTCATTTGCTAAGGTGCATCGTGTCAGTCGTTGCGGTCGAGCATGTGGAAAGGTTAGCACCCAACGCATGGTATTTCTCCAAACTCGACAGGCCGCTGCAACGCCGTACTTTTCTCCACGGAGATGTGCGCACCGTGTTGCCAATGGACGGTTGCCGACAACAGTACCAAAGTGTCAACGAACCATCATCCCGGTTGTCTCATGCTTAGTCTGAAACAGGTGCGTTGACTCACAAAATCGTAAAGGTTTTTAACATTCGACAATGTTCGAGACCGCGACTACCCGCTCATCCCATACATATGTTTAAAGTGTGTTCCCCCTCCCCATGCGGTACATGCAGAATATCATGTTTGCGTTATTCGTTGCTCGATCGTTAGGTTTATAACTTACGGTGTCGGTTTCTGTGAATTGCAACACTTTTTGAACGTCATACGAAAGAAGCGACAATGCATTGCACGCCAATGATTGTCCGATGTTACCACCCCACAAAACTGACAGGCGGTGACACCGTATACTATTACAAATCAATGACTCTCGTAACAGATCCTGTCGGCGATGCAGCGGGATACCGCAATGGATACAAGAAGGTGAATCGTCATTTCGTTGTCAGCGTGGAGGAGGAACGAGTCGTTAGACTCACTACAGAAACTTATATTCGCGATCACGCCATCGAACACATTCGTGTCCTAATGTCTAAGCCAACCACGTACTTCAGTACCTTTGATCTCAAACCGGTCGACGGTGATTTCATGTATGATATCGTATTCCCCCTTGTACATCGTATACTATACACACACTACAGAACGGTTGCTCGGAACGGCGTCTAGCGCCTGGTCGTGTCACCACCCTATTTTGTCTCTAATGACGAGGATTTCTCTGCCATGTTTTATCCTTGCAGTGCGACCCAACGATGAGTACCATTCGTTAATTTTTTTTTTAGTTTTTTCGTAGTTGGAGAGAGAGAAAATGATGGTTTCAATGATTGTATATTCTATCTTTATACATATGCAAGCCCTATCTCCCATGTGTTTGTTATATGTTTTCAGTAAAAAAAAAAATTTGCCTACTTTGCGTTCTGAAATTTGTTTTCGTTTTCGTTATGTGGAGGTAAAGTAGGTACATTACTAAGGTAATCGGTGTCCGTAATGTTCTGTTTTGTAGATTTCAAAAAAATCACACATAAGCGAGAGAACAATATTCACTCTTTCAAATACATGGACCGTCGACGACGCAGGGCTGGCGTGCGGGCCGACGCAGTAGTATTTGGAAATGGACAGATATTGATCCTTTCCGTGACGAGAAGCTGACAGTCGCCGAGATTAGGAGCCAGTGGCAGGGACCCGCCGCGCTTTTGGAGGAGGCTGTGACTTTTGCTGGCCTGGATGAGCATCTGCAACAATGCATGAATCTGCTTATTGGTCATGCAAATCTCGAACCCAAGCAGAATCGTTACAATGGATATGTCGCTTTTTCTCGGTTGTGCGGGTTCGTCGTTTTCCGACAAAGATTGTCAGCTGAGTTCCAAGACGCAATGCGGGAACGATGGCCAGATACAATTATTCGAGCTTTTGAACTACGACAATGTGATCCTCCTGAAAACACGCGCCCACGTCAACGTGCACGGCGGTAAATGCTTCACGAGAGATGGAGAGATAGATAGAAAGATCGAGAGAGAGAGAGAGAGAGAGAGAGAGAGAGAGAGAGAGA